ACTGCAATGACTCTGTAATGGATCCTGCTCGGAAAAATCGTGGATGATTCGGGGTTCCCCGAGGACACCCGACAATCTTCTTAAGTTACCGGGAACATTTGCATAGTCGTCAGAGGTCATTGGATAATGACAGGTGCATGTGGACCATATAATTTAGGAGGTTCTGCCACAGAACTTGCTGACGTCGTGGCGTGCCAAAAGCTGCTGCGCCGCATCAGTAGCAGCAGCTCTGCCAGCTCTGTTAACACGCTAGCCCGCGCGGCTGCCGGAGCTCACCTGCGCCGTCGCGCTCGCAGCGCTGCGTGAGCTTGCCTACGTTGGAGGTCTCCTCGCGCGCCTTCGCTGGTTCACGCTGCTGCAGGAGCTTGCCCGCGCCGCTGCCCTCGAGCCATCGTACCAGGCCGCCGCCGTACCGGGACGCGGTCTAGGAGACCATGGACAGCTCGGCGCCACCAACGTGCTCATCGACTCCGGCACGGTGATCACGCGCCTGGCGCCATCCGTGTACCACGCCGCGTCGTGTTTAAGTATCCTGACAGCTCTAGTAAGAGGAGGGAAAATGGAGGATATGAAAAAGAATGGGGGACCTCTCTGCTTATTTACACGCCCCAAACCAGGGTCACGCGCGGATCACGTGCGCTCTGTCCACGCCATGTCGGCCAAAACCTTGATCCGATGAGTTATGTACCTAAATGGCATACTTAAATAATATTAGGGTGCCAGAGTACGAATTAAGAGTTTGTGGACCTAAGTGGCACCCCGAGACAAGTTCAAAGACCTACGATGCATATACCTCATTTGTAAATGATACACAGCTAATAGTCGGGACTACAAAACAAAGCCATAAGGCTTGCACACACACAAGAGAAACAAACTTCCGCCTAGCTAGTGAGCACGGAGAACAAGGAAAGAAACTAGTGGTTCATGAAAATATATCTAGATGCTTTAAAAAGGATTTAGCTCTAGAAAATCGGGGGAAGATATCCAACAAAATATAACAAATTATCAAAACATTCTAATCGGCGTATAAAAATGTTTTAAAAAATTGCATGACAAAAATATGAGATGCAGCTTGCATTAATGCAACATACACGGATGCGAAATGCATTCATACTATGTGTTTGTGCTAGTTGTGTATTATGTTTTTTATTGTGATAGGTTTTTAAAAGACATTTATACATTGATCAAAACGTTTTGAGAATTTTCTAGATTTTTTATATAACTTTTCATTTTTCTAGAGCTAAATATATTTTTATGAAGCATCAAAAAGGAAAATCAGGCTATGATGATAACAGTAGAATAGATATTTTTTCCAATCATACCCAATTTGGGGTGGGCACCCAAATCTTGCCTCCAGACCCGATTCTTGTTGGCCCAATAGCTCGGCCCCATCCGCACGGACGCTGCTCCTCCCCTTCCTCCGCGCACACGTGCTGCTCCAGCTCTCCCTCCGGCACTTTCCTCCGACGAGCGTCGCAGCTCCTCCGTTCTCCCCGCGTGGCAGCAAGCACTGGCGACGCGGCTCTCTCTCCTCCCTCCTCGATGCGACCAGATCTACGGTGCGGCTCCCTCCCATGCTGGGTACCGTGGCCCCTGCTCGTGGCCCCCTTCATCGCGCGGTTTCTTCTCAGGCAGGCACGGTCTCTGCTCGGCTCCCGCGTGCGTGTAGGCTGCTCGTGTGCTCCCTCCCTCCCTCCGTCTCCCTGACCCGACGCCGCTCGAGGCCGAGAGACCGTGTGGCTCTGGCTTCCTTGCTCGCACGGGATGCGGCGGCGCAGCAGGCCCGCGTGACCACTGGCTCCGCCCGCCCCACTCGTGGGCTCTTTCCTCCCTCAGCCCGCTGCCGCTCACGATGGAGAATCCATGCGGCTCAAAGCATTGGAATAGCTCAGATGGTGAAAGACCGGAGATGACAAGTGGGTCTCAATGTTCAGTGTTTATTAAGAGAATTTAGGGACTTTGATTTATGGGCTTTTGCTAGAGCAAATGCAAAATAGAGGGCCAACAAAAATGGGGGAAGCACCCAAATCAAAAATGGAGGGCCTGATTTAGGGGCTACTACTGGAGTTGCTCTAAGGCCCAACAACATAATAATGACTTGTACGTAGGCACAGTTCGACGCTTCACAGCGTTGTGAGTTTCTGACACCACGCTTGTTGCAAATTGCAACGTGAGCAAGGTTAATAATGCAGCCAGACTGTTGGCTGGCTGTAAGGTTCTTTACAACCTTCTCTCAATCTAACTCTTCACTATTAATACATGGTTCACTTGTCTCTCTCATAAAATTTCTTAGTTTACGGCCCGTTTTTCCTCTCTTCTCTCCCCTCTCCTCCGCATCAACATTTAACTAGTTTACAACTTGACACTTCGATAAAATTTGTTTGATTTCATGTAATAAAAAAAAAAAAAGTAAAAGCCTGCACAAAACTCTTGGCGTTAAAAACCCGTCATTTAGGGCCTATTTGGGACTACTCTGCTCCACCTTTTTCAGCTCTGCTCCACCAACTCACCACAGAGCAGCTCCACTGTGGAGTTTCTGGAGCAAATGGACCTGTTTGACACGCAATTTAGCTCCAGCTCTGGAAACATGAGGTTTCTATAGGAAAGGTCTACTATGCCCCTGATCGAAGTTTGGTGTATGTTCTGTTGTATGCAGAGCATGTGTAATTGAATATTTTTTTACCAATTCAAATATGGTGTAAATATTATAATCTCATTTAATTTATTGGAGAAAAGTAAAAAACAAATATTTCGGCCAAATAATTCTATACTTTTGTCACGTAAATTTCAAAGCGCTTGATGGATAATTGACAAAGTTCATATTTCGGATACCTTTTGGAGGGTGTGGAAAAAAGCTCTCGTCCACTCTAATTGCATTGTACAAGACACTAGTATCATGCATAGAGCCCGCCGTCCCATCGACACATAAGTGAACCTCATATCAAAGTCACAACTTGCTAGAATCACATGTAAAATACTGTTCATTAGCCTCTAAATCATCATTATTTTCTTAACTCTAGCCCTAATCTTCATTATTTAGCCCCCCCCCAAGGAGCTTATCCTGGATCCACCCCTGATTTGCTGAATCAGCTTGGTGAACGCACCTGCTCAAGTCAAGCGTAACAAAATGCGTTTCAACTCATCAATAGTTTGCTGTTTCATGAAAGTAGAGAGAAAGTAATATGCCAAAGAACAGAGCTACCAATTGTCGGTAGATTATTCAAAAGTGTGATGACTAATGATATAAGTTGTTTTCTCACGCTACTATTAGGAACGGTGAAGAGCACATCTTTGAATGACTTAAAAGATGATGACTCTAAAGAAAATTATCCCTTGAAGATAAAAGCGTGGCGCGAGCTTCTTTGGAAAATAAAACGCATATATAAAGATCGTCGTCGCAGACTTGCAACTTGCGTTTCTACAATCAAATACTTCAGATCGGGAATGGAGATAAGGGCCATGGATCTAGACTGCTGTGTGTTGTGTCTTTTCGGAGGCGAGGTAGCCATGGATGCACAGATGAAGCCGGAGAGCGGCCGAGCTAAAGTCCAGCTCTGTGTCGAGGTCGAGGTCACCGCAACCGCCTAACGGCCTAGAGGTCGACGTCAATGGCGGAGCCTCAGAGGCCACCAGATGATGCAATGGTGCTGCGCGTGGCAAGGCGATGGAGGTCAAGTTGTCGGTGTCGGGTCGTCGCTGACTGTGTGTTGCGCCTCCTCCGTGGGATTGAGCCGCTGTGGACGGCGGAAGTGAGGGAGTACGCGAGAGGCGGGCGGCGGTGGCGCTTTCATGCAGAGAGAGGAGAGAGGCGACGGGAGTGGAGGAGGATGAGGGTGTCGGGTGGGGGCGATGGGAGGAAATAGAACGAAACGGTATTTTTGCATGAACGAGTGGCAATTATGGGTAATTACCTCCAACTCCACGAGGACATACGAAACGCTGGTTCGTGGAGTACCCTCTGAGGAGCTCCGTGAAAAACATGGAGTTGGACCAAAACCTCTTTTTTGGGGAGCAGAGTTTGTGAAGTTGAACCTGTTTGGCAGGAAAGTTTGGGAGCAGAGCTACAAAAGGTGGAGCAGAGCAGTCCCAAACATCCTCTTAAACGGCCTCAGAAATGAGAAATCAGCGTGCACAAAGCAACGGCAGCGACAAAGGCCCTGTTTAGTTCTTCCTAGAATGCAGAATCCATAATCCATAATCCATAATCAAAATCCCCCTCAAAACCCAAAATGCAAAATAGTATAGTAGGGTGTTTACTTCCACCCAAAATCCAGAATAGGAACTCAACTAATGACAGATTTGCCCTCATTAATACATGCAGATTGCATGCATGCATGCCGCTGCCTTCCAGGCAATTTACGCCCAGGCCTCCATGGTACTTAGGGCAACGTAGACTTTCAGGCACAAAATGGGCTTAATTTTGACCTATGAACTTCCAAATGCAGAATCCGAAATGGACCTTATTTTGCAAATAAAATTGGATGGTGTTTAGATCTATTTAACAAAATGGTGGATCAAAATCCAGATTTTTTTTGATTCCGACGGGAACGGGCCAAACTGGAAATGTTGGCATGCGCCGCACCAGCTGCCCAGCCTGTACCTGCCTGGCGCCTGCTATGCTTGCAGATTTCAACAGGCGTGGGTGCGTCCGTCCAGCTGGGCACCGTGCCCCGCGCAACTGGCTGCTGGTTTCGGCTGGGCACGGTGGGCCCCTTCTCGTGCTCTCGTGGTCTCGTCAAAACGGTCAAAGCATCAGGTGCCCCAATCACATCTCCTCCTGACCGACCGGTGTAGTAGTAGGACAAGCTGCGGCGGACGGCGGCGGAGGCCCCAGTAGCCATCTCTCTCTCCAGATCCTTGCAACATTGCACTACTGCATTGCGACGCGCAGATCCAACCTACGCACATTGCATCGCTTGTTGCTGCAGATGCGCTGCTATTGATCATCCGATCTGGTCCGTCGTTATCCAGGGATGGTGGCGGTGAAGGACCCCGCGGCGATGGAGGACACCAAGAAGGCGTCTGAGAAGACGAAGCCCGACATGAGGCGCGTGACGACGGCGGAGATGGCGCGGCACTGCGGCGAGGGCGACGTGTGGGTGGCCGTGCAGGGGAAGGTCTACGACGTCACGGCCTGGCTGCCGCACCGCCAGGGCGGGGACCTCCCGCTGCTGAGCCTGGCCGGGCAGGACGTCACCGACGCCTTCGTCGCCTACCACCTGGCCTCCGCGTGGCGGGTGCTCGACCGCTACCGCGTCGCCACGCTCTCCGACTACGCCGTCTCCGAGGTCTCCCGCGACTACCGCCGCCTCGTCGCCGAGTTCGCCAGGGCGGGCCTCGACCGCAAGGGCCACGGCTGCGCCGCCTCGCTCTGCGCCATGGCGGCGCTAATGGCCGGCGCCGTCTGGCTCGTCTTTGCCACCACGAGCGTGGCCGCGCACATGGCGGCCGCCGTCATGTTGGGCTTCCTGTGGATGCAGTCGGGCTTCCTCGGCCACGACTCGGGCCACTACGTGGTGATGCGGACCGGCGTCCTGAACCGCGCCGTGCAGCTGGGGGCGGGCAACTGCGTCGCCGGCATCAGCATCGGGTGGTGGAAGCGCAACCACAACGCGCACCACATCGCGTGCAACAGCCTCGACCACGACCCGGACGTGCAGCACATGCCGCTCTTCGCCGTCTCGCCGCGCCTCTTCGCGTCCCTCACCTCCGCCTTCTACCGCCGCGCGATGCGCTTCGACGCCGCGGCGCGCCTCGTCAGCTACCAGCACTGGACATTCTACCCGGTCATGTGCGTGGCGCGCGTCAACCTCTTCGCGCAGTCGCTGCTGCTGCTGCTGTTCATCCGGACGACGCGCGTGCCGGGGCGGCTCGCGGAGCTCGCGGGCCTCGCCGTGTTCTGGGTGTGGTACCCGTGGCTGGTGTCCCGGCTGCCCGGCGGCGCTCCCGATCGAGCGCGCCGCCTTCGTGCTGCTCAGCTTCGCCGTCACGGCGATCCAGCACGTGCAGTTCTGCCTGAACCACTTCTCGGCGGGGACGTACGTGGGGCGGCCCCGCGGCGACGACTGGTTCAGAAGCAGACGCGGGGCACGCTGGACGTGGCCTGCCCGCCGTGGATGGACTGGTTCCACGGCGAGCTGCAGTTCCAGGTGGAGCACCACCTGTTCCCGCGGCTGCCACCTCCGGCGCGTGGCGCCCCTGGTGCGCGACCTCTGCCGCAAGCACGGACTGCCCTACGAGCGCTGCGGCTTCTGGGAGGCCAACGTGCGCACGCTGCGGACGCTGCGCGATGCCGCCATGCAGGCGCGCGCGGTCACCGCCGGCGGCTCGGGCCCCGGGCCCAAGAACCTCGTATGGGAGGCCGTCAACACCCTTGGCTGATTTATTTTATTATTTGATTGATGGATCCAACTTTTTAGAGTATGCCGGTGCAATTAGTCCATTGGATTGGATGCAAACATGAAAGAAAGAAGAAACGCATCAAACATTTTGTGGTGGGCAGTGATGTTTTTTTACTAAACGCCATTGTTGAGATCGGGCATGATTCGATTTGGTGCAGGTACAATTGTATTGGGTTGGCATTTCTTGAGTGGTATAGCTTTCGGCCTTTACCTTTCCAACAGCTTGTGATCGGTCCAAACTGGAAAGCCCATGCAGGGTACTAGCACACTGCACATGCACAGTGCAAACTGGAAGTGCGAGCGCAGATCCGATGAGATCACTCCGATTGTGAGGCACTCGGATGGTATCTATCCACCGTCCGTGTCGCCGCCTCGCCGGTCCAGATCTGGTCACTCTCACAGGGTCCATGGCTCTCAAATCCATTCTCTTCTGAGCAAAATTACCGACACCAACCATGTGCATGACTAAGGATGAAAACGGTCGGAAACGGTCGAAAAACTCCTAAATTGTTTTCTACTTTTACATTTGAAATCTCGAAAGCAAAATTACCGACACCAACCATGTAAATGACTAAGGATGAAAAGCGGTAAAACGACACGAAAAAGCGAACGAATTGTTTTATTTAATTATCGAGAATTTCAAAACGAACCAATTCGAAACCGGATTTATCGAACTTAACACGGTCGATATACGAAAACTCAATACGGAATACTTAACTGAAGACCGTAGACCAACTGCATGACTAAGTGCATACATGATCAAGTTCAAGCGCATATAATAATTAACAAGTGCATATTATAAAAACATGAACTCGAATCGAGTCGGAATAATTTTATTAATCTTTTAGAATAGATGTAGTATTTTATTTTAAAGATTTATTCAGATTTTTCTTTTGAGTAATAAAGATTTATTAATTTGATGCAAAAACTATCAAATGATTGACTTTGCAAGTGGGGGTTAAACACGATGATTTTGATGGGCTATGGCCGGTGGGCTTTCGTGTACATCTTCTTTGGTTTCGACATTTAGCACCATCTCATGAGGTGAAGAGAGATGAGGTCAAGGCGTCTATAAAGAGAGGCAGGTGACCACCAAGAAAGAAAGAACGCAGCAATTGCGTGGTGAATAACATGTAATTGGGTCATGTATGACTGCATGCAGTTGGCCAAATTCGGTTTAAACTGAATTTTCAATTGAATATTTCAAATTAAAATAAAAAGTAAAAGCGGTCGAAAATGTCTAAACCGTTTTCTACTTTTACATTTGAAATACGAAACATCTGAAATGCGAAAGCGAAAACGGTAAAGTCGGACAAGAAAATACGGATTCGATCGGATTAAATATAGAAAACGATGCGGTTCAGTCTGGTCAAATCTCTCGGCAATGTGGTTGAAGGCTCCAGTGCTTTCTTTTTTATAAACATGCCTCGGCATATTAACAACCTTCAAACTTGGCCAGGATATGTTTTACCAGAGGCGCCTCCTATTTAAACAAAACACAGAAAACGGGGAGTTGTACAATCGAGGCATGTTTGTACGTGTGTTTGCTTCAAGGAGAGAAAGTCATGAACATTGGTTCAAGGATCGGAGATGATTAAGAGAGTGTTTGGCAAGGTATCTCCTGAGAAAACGTTTAGTAGGGCTCCTACAAAATGTTTGGTAGAGCTTCTCTAAGAAGAGCCGGAGCTGGAGCCAAGGAAGAAGCCCTACCAAACAGGTCCTCAAGAAAGGTGGAAACGTGCCACCATTCTAGGAGCAAGGGTGAGAGAGTAGTGCTTGCGCCCTGTGGGAGTGACCCCTTAGGACAGAATGGCGGGGCAAAGTGCGGTGAGGAGAGGAGGGTGATCTAAAGGGTGAAACAATCCATGATGGTTGGAGATGCGCATACAAACATCTCCCTAACACCACAAAATCTTCACTGGTCACTGCTTACACCAAAGTGCATTTCTGATTGAATGTATCTAGGTCCCTAGTTGGGTTTCGGTGATTAATGATAATACGAGATTACTGTGACTAACGTGTGTTTTGCATAGACAATTAAGTTAGGTCATGGTAATAACAATTGATTGGGCAATCATGGTTGTCATGCCCCTACGATGGAAATCGTTTCGGTTTTCAAAGGATGGACGACAAGGTTAAGAATGGACTAGTTCTAATTATCGTTTGGTGTTGAAGAGACACTTAGAGTAATTTAGGATTTTGTATTTCCTTTGGCCGTTGAAGTGGTCCGTGACGCCTAAGGGAGAGGGGTGAATTAGGCAACTTAAAAATCTAACTCTAAACTATGGCATCTTTATCTAACTCTAGCAAAATCTATGCAAAAGATAAACTATTTAAATGTACAACTACGGTTTTGCTAGTATGTTGCTATCTCTACCTAAAAGGAGTAATGTAATCAATGTAAATACGGAAGCTAAAGAGTAGGTAGAGATATGCAAACTCCCGTCGACGACTTCGATATTTTTACCGAGGTATCGAGAAGCACGCAAGCTTCCCCTAGTCCTCGTTGGAGCCCCTCGCAAGGAATCCCTCGCAAGGGCCAAGCTCCCGGTCGGGTAACTCCATGGATAGCCTCGGGCCTTCTCCATACGCAAGTGGGTCTCCGACGTGCCTTCCGGCAAGCCTCTCCCGGATGCTCCCCGCTGTCTTCACTACCAAGCTTCCGACCGAAACACCGCGGGCCTTGTTCCCTTCAGTACACGGTGGCGGCCACACCACAAACGCGGTTTGTATGATCTCGCAAGACTACAAGCCCCTCCGATGTACAACAATGGTGCGCGCAAGCACCGAGTGGTAAGAAGTATGCAAACCTTACTAAACACTAGGCCTAAACCTAGAGCAAGCGCATAAGCAGTGGTCTAATCAACCTAAGCACTTCGCAAAGCACCTACGCTAATCAACTAATGAATCACTAAGCACTATGCAAGTAGAGATCACTAAAATGGTGTATCAACACCCTTGATATGTTTCCTCAGCTCCACACACCTCATTTGGTCGGTTGGGGGTTGTATTTATAAGCCCCACTGAGAAAGTAGCCGTTGGGCACGAAATCCCGCTTTTCTGCTACTGATCGGACGCTGATCACGTCCTGACCGGACGCGTCCGGTCGTCCTGACCGTTGAAGCCGTGAACAACTGATCGGACGCTGCCGACGTCCGGTCACCTGCCACCGGGCGCGTCTAGTCGCAGTTTCGCTGCTCTGGAACCTCTCTGTACTCGACCGAACTCTGTTGTCCTACGTCCGGTTGATCTGCCGCTAGCGTCCGATCACGTCTGTTGCCTAGCCTCTTGATCGGAGCGTCCGATCACTTTCCTCTAGTGTTCGGTCCAGCGTCCAGTCACTTATGTGAGCTCGTTTCTTCGTGATCTTGCGTACGGCTTAGTTCCTATCTTCATGCTTAGACTTTGCTTGATATCTTGAGTCTTCTCTTGTGCTTCTAAGGTCTTGCTTATGATGTTGATCATCGGATCATCATGTTGCCTTTGTCCAAGTCACATCTTGCACCCTATTGAACTACAAAACAATCACTTGCAAATTCATTAGTCCAATTTGGTTGTGTTGGTCATCAAGCACCAAAATCCAAAGTAAATGGGCCTAGGGTCCATTTTCCTTACAATCTCCCCCTTTTTGGTGATTGATGACAACATGACCAAAGCAAGCAAATAATAAAAATTTTGTAAATTTGAAAACTACCTACTTGCTAGGATGCAATGCAAGGGGCAATGTTATATGATGCTAAAAGATACTACTTGTAAGACTAGAAGATACCACTTGAACACTTATCTTGCCCTTGCAAATGTCCCCATGTGGCATTATGGATTTAAGCCTTGCTTCCTACAAATTCTCCCCATTACATAGGCAATCCATAATCCACTCTCCTCCCTTTTTCGGACCATTATCACTTGTAGGCACCACTTGTAGACCATTACCACTTGTAAATTATTATGATCTAGCTTTTGGTCCTATAAATTAGTGCTTGCTTTTGGTCCTCTAAATTCTCCCCTTTGGAATCAAACACCAAGAAGGAAGACATTAGTAGCACAAGGGAGGGTCAAACTTTATGAACCTTTGTGTGTAGAGTGAAAATAGGTCACAAAATTTGACTCTCACATTATATAGATTAAGCTCCCCCTAAATATATGCATACATATGGTAGAAGGCAAAGTATATGCATAATTAGCAAATTATTACTCAAGAAACTTTAATCTATATAATGCATGGAGAAAGCATACAAATATCAAAATAAAATCAACATGATGATATTGGTTTAGAAATACCACATGTGGAAACCAATTTGACTTCTACCACTTGCAATAGGTGGTGGATATTTGAAGTATGATGCTTAACTCCGGGGACTCCATTTTCCTTGCAATGAGACTACTATACACATGATAAGCTTGAAAAGGTGTTAGTCTCAAAGCATCCAACTTGTAGAGTAACCTCTCCCTAAATTTATGCACACAAGTGTGGGATACTTGTAGAAGTCATGCACATTGATTTTAGAATCAATAATACCACTTGAAAGATAACATCTCATGAATGTGAGAATCATTTTCAAAGATGATATTCGGGAGAAATTATCTACAATTTGGACTTTAGCACATATTAGATGAACAATCAAAGAACAAGCTATGTGCCGTGCTCCTAAACAATTTTAAACCATGTAGGTTTGCTCCAAGGGTTAAGCATGAAACCGAGCAAGCCTACCATAAGATATACCTAGTATATGCATAACAAAAGATAGAAGCATGCAAATGCAAACCAAGGCATGTAAAATAACTAGATGCTTAAAGATACTAATTTGTAAGATATACTACTTAAAGGAAGTACTAATTGAAAACAATAACATCTAGTTACCTAACATGGGAAGGGGAATTTGGGTCCATAGTATTCACTAACCCACTTGGCAATGATTTTGTCCATCATGATGCACCCCATGAAATGCATCCATACTTTGCCAAGTCTCCAAATTCCCCAAAATCTATTGGACTTCTCA